TTTAGAAGATAACTAGAATTTACCAAATACTTCATATGTTTCATCTACTCTACTAAGAATTTACATGGACAGTATTGTTTAATTCTACCATATTCACAAATCTATGATCACTTCCTAGCATACAAACCAGTAGATAATAAGAAAATACTATGCAAATGAGTTCCAGATAATCTTGCTCAAGATCACACAGTAAGTGACAAAACTAGAAATTAAGTAACTGACTCCAAAGTACATATTCTTTTTTAAAGATGAATTTATTTATTTGAAAGTTATTTTTACAGAGAGAGGGAGAGAGAGAGAGGGAAAGAGGGAGAGATACCTTCCATCCACTAGTTCACTACCTAGATGGCTGCAATTGCCATGACTGTGTAGGAGCTTCATCAGAGTCTTCCCCATGGGTAGCAGGGGCTCAAACACTTGGGCCATCTTCCAATGCTTTCCCCACTAGAAGAGGAGACAAACTTGGACTCATGTGGGATGCCAGTTTCAGAGGCAGTGGCTTACCATAATGTTTCTCACATATTCTTTAATCACTAAACTGTGCCACCTTCACTTTCTATACTTCCCCCTGAAATGTATAACTTCTTGTTACAAGCTGAATGTATCTACCTCAAAATTAAGATGATGAAGCTCCAGTACTAAGTGTGGCAATGTTTAGAATGAGAACTCTAGGGAAGTAGAGTTCTAAGGAATGGAGGAGGATGAGTCCTGGATGCAACAGGATCAGCATTCCTATAAGACACCAACCCCCCCGCCAAAGTATACACTCAAGAAAAGCCTTTGCGGACATAGTGAGGAATATTGCCATCTATAACCCAGGTAGCAAGTCCTGTACTTGGAATTCAAGTATCCTAAACTCAAAAGAAATAAATTTCTTTTGCTTAAACCACCCACTCTATGGTAGTATGTTATGGAAGTGTGCTAATTGTTTGAATATGCCCCCCAAAATTTTATGTGTGGAATCTTAATGTCTAATAAGGTAATGTTCATCAGTGTGACCCAACAGGAAGTTGTGTTTTTATTTTTTATCATAAGACTTCCAACTCTCAGGAATACATTGAAGCATGGGTTAGCAATCATGGTAGTGAGTTGATTACCATGGTATTGGCTTTGTTATAAAAAGTAAATGTTCTGGTATGTTTGGTGCAGTGGTTAAATTGCTTTGGGATGCCTACATTCCATAACAGAGTACCAGGCTCAAATCTCAACTCCACTTCCAACCCAGTTGCCTGCTATTTAAGCATGCTGCAGGGCAACAAGTGATAGCTTAAATACTTTGATCCATGCCATCCATGTGGGAGACACAGATTGAGTTCCTTGTTCCCAGCCTCAACCTAGCCCAGCCCTGGCTATTACAGGCATTTCAGGAGCAGACCAGTAAATAGAATCAATCAATCAATAAATAAATCAATCTCTCTCCCTCTCTTTCTCTCTCCCTTCCTCCCTCCCTCCCTCACTTCCTTCCTCCCTCCATCTGCAACCCTCTAGAAATCTACCTTTCAAATGAATGAAAATAAACATGAAAAATAAAATGTAATAAGTAATGGTTTCAAAATACCAAACCTTTTTACATGCTCCCTTGCCATCTTGCCATGTGAAGCCTTCTGTCATGTTACGAGACAGCAAGAATGCTCTCAACAGATGCTGAGCAGATGTAGGGACAATGCTCTTGGACTTCCCAGCCTCCAGAACCATGAGCCAAATATAATGACCCATTCTTGGGTGGGTCTTCTGTTACTGCAACAGTAAAGAGACTAAGACACAGCCATAGTAGTCTAAAATACTTCCAGTACGTAAAGTTCCCCAGCTATATGCTGTATATGACTTTTGTGGTCTAAGTTATTTTTGTACTTACAAGTGTATAAAAGCAAATGTTTTTCAAAAGAAAAGCATAGAAAACAAAGTCCACTACACATTTCTATACATAATCATAGATTGAATTCCAGCATATTCAGAAAGGATTTTTTAAAGTAGGGTTAAAATAGGGTTTTTATGTTGAATTCTCTCATACCCTTTACCAAACTGAAATTTTAAATGAGAAAGAACAGGGAGTATATCATGACAAAACATTTAGTGTTATTTTATTTTTAAATTGTGTATTCAACATAGTTATTAAAACATATTGATGGAGCATAATTTGGATATAAATAAGTTACATATCCAAGTAGCAGTATTTAACTCAGGCATTCTGTATTTCTACTCTTCTATATAACAGAATCTACAAATGACTATTTATAGTCACACAGCATAATGTGGAGCTAAGTGAGAGCCCAGCGTCCTGTGATAATGTTGCAGATTCCTCCCCAAATCTTAGAACCTTGGGTAGCTCCAGAACCTGATCAGAATATTCTTATAGCTCTCTCATGGCCAGAATTGACAAACAACATGAGGTCAGACTCCTCTGGGAGCATTTTACAATGACATTCACTTCAACAGAAATATTTGGATGGCATATAGCAATAATCTGGGACTCCTATAGAAAAATTGCCTGCGACCTACTGGTATCAGACAGTATATACAGTCTGCTATGTGGCTATCAGGCTCAAAATTATTCACCACTATATTCATGATACCTAAATTACAGTAGGAATTAAGAAACATCCTTTCCTGCATCAACAATGCCAAACCAAGTGTCTGTATCACAAGAGATCTGCACCTGCCTAGAAAACTCTCCATGATACTAAAGAATACAACACCTGAAATGTTTCATCAGGCAAGACACCTTTTTGCTATAAAGAAGCTACTTCCTATGTTATCTGCAACTGATTTATTCCTTTCCCAAATTTCTGGCTGATGATAATACAGCCATAACTTTTTTAAAAAATTATTTGTTTTCAGTCATTGCTTTAACATAGAATGTTTTAATGCAATAATCTCACTCAAAATACAATATATATTAAATGGTCCTGACTTTGTAGAATGTCAGAGGTAAGAAGTATTAGGTTATCATCCTGTTCAACCTCTTAATTTTAGAAAAAAGTCAATGGACATTCAGAGAATTGAAATAACTTATTAAGGTCACACAGTTAAGTGCATTCCATCCTTTCAACAACTTCCTTTTTCCATACAAAACCCACCTCTCCTTGCCTTCTCTCACTTCTCTTCTCCCTTGAGTCCTTGACTTGCTATGGCCCCAGATGTAGTTGGTTATACAAGAGAGGTGACATAACCCAGGCAGTTATCTTTCTGCAAGCAGATTCTCACTGGAAAACTGGCACTCAGTACCTTGGCAGGGAATGTGCACAAACAGGAGCAGAGAAGAGCACACCATCTGGACAGCATGATGCATGGTGCCAAGTGGGCCCCAGTTTTGGGGAAGAGGGAGAAAGGAAGGATGTCGCCCAACTGCACACATTTATTTTTCCCTCTAAGGAATTTGTTAGTAACTGAGCTATTCTAAATGGAAGCTGTTGTAGGTGGTTCTGATGGCTGACAAACGTGTAGGCAAGGATGACAAAGGTGAGTGGTAGCCAGGCAATTTGCAAATGATTTGTGAGCCAGAAATAGTCAGTGGTGTCTGATTACTCTGTATGAATGAAGGGATGCAGTTCTGAAGGGTAAAAGTATGCAAGTGCTTTCCCCCACTTACTCTCTTCTTCCTTTTTTAGAAAAGTAGTAAGTACAAAGAATTCCTGATAGTATCTAGAAAAAAAGCTTATATTTAACACCCACAGATATTCCTTTCTCTTTGCTAAATTTTAATCACACTAATATTTTCACTATGCTACAGCTACATGTCCCACTATGAAAATCATCAACCTACACAATGTTTTTTAATTGGTAAATTAGTAGCATCATGGCTGCTACAGAATTTGTCCTGTCAGTGATTCTGGTCTACTATATACATTTTTGGTGATAATCTTCTTATAATGTGTATCTTATTTATTATTTTCTCTATTTATTAGGAAGTTGGCTCTAGTAAACTCAACTACATCAAGGGCATGAGTTTTAGAATCATGCTGAATTTTCAATAATATATCCATAATACGTTATCTGCACTGCTTGGCATTTTAGAGTTGACAAAGCACTTTCACAAACATTGTGTCATTTTAATTTTCACAATAGTAATCTGATGTTGGTAGTTATAGAATGCTAAGAGGTTTACCAAACAGAACAACGCCACTGAGAAGCCTTGTGGCATGAAGAACAAGGAAAAATCAGATGGGACTGGAATGGATCCTGATAGCCATTTTGTGGTACAGAGAACATCAGTGAACACCTCCAAGCTTCAATATAGCAAATCTTGCATTCAAATAACATGAGTAATAGGAAGATGCTTGACACAGTGTGGGGGCAACTTCTCCTACACTTCTCTTCTCCACTCCAGGCCTCATTCTTTTCAATCATACAATGATGCTTTCTTAGTCCCTTTTTGTCCTCTCTATGACCATTGATGCACACTCTAAGATAGCTGTATGAAATCAGAAGTATTGAACTTTTGTCCATGGAACATAGCCATGAGAAATAGCATATGTGGGGGAGGGAAACATGCTTCAAAATTGAGCTAACTAATGATAACATTATCATTAGTGGAAAACACTGAGATTACACATAAAGCTTTAACATATTAGAGCTTTTGCCTCTCAAACTAAATAGGACCATTTTCCTTTGGTGGGGTGGGGCTTTTAATCTGACATCATAAGTCACCAGAAGGTACCCCTTCTTTATATTTGCAGTGCTTTAAATTCACATTTAGTAAGAATTTGGCTACTCATAACAAACATGGTAAAGTCTCATCAGCTGTTGCTTCTGAAGTGATTTTTATTTTGTCTCTGCAGTAACAAAATCTAATGATCAAGACAAAAAAATGCATCTGGTACAGCTCTCATCCAGTCTAAGTCTATTCAAGCTGGAATCATGGCCTCAAGGCAAAATCCTCAATACTGAATATCCTCCCAGTTCATCAGGATTCAATCTCTGTTAAACAAAATCTGATGATTTAGATAGAAAAATATCTGTCAAGGAGGAGTCATCTCCATTAATAGGAATTCATTTGTTACCTTTTGTCTCTCACAATCCAATCAAGGCTAGAAGACCTCATAATTTCATTAGTCCTCATCAGAGTCTAAGAACAATCCATAAACTGTTGGCAAAAAGGTTTCTTCCTGGTGAGGAGAGGAATGCTTTTGTTCACTGTCATATTTCTTTCCATATGGACTCCACTTTGTTCCTATGCCATTCATGGGCTCTCTTCTCCTCTTCATTTCTTCCTCCCAGGGGAATAGGAATAACTAATTCCTATTAGTCTGGAAGGATAAATTTTAAAGCATCATCCAATCCTACTCTCACCAATTTATCCTTAAGAAATGACTGTCTCATAGGAGCCTAGATTCTGGCAACTCAACATTCCAGGGTCACAAAGTCTGGCATTTAACCAAATGATTGAAACATTCAAACCAAATATTACAGTGAGCTTTGTAACTAAAACAAAAGCAGCATTTAATTTCTGAAGGGGAAAAGTGGGCTCAATATTTAATCTCTATTCCCTTAAAATTTATTTCACTTGTGTCAAAGGCTATTACTTCAACTCCAAAATATAAAATCCTACAGGAAAATTCAGCATTTGAAACATATTTTATTTTTAAAATATATTCACTATATATTCTAGCTATCCATATTAAATGTAATTATATTTATATTTCATTCAACAACAGATAAGGATAGATAGAAACCTTGTTTATTGGATTTTAATTTCCACAAATCATGAAGTGGAATTTCTTTGCAACTCTAAATGTTCAGCTGATGTTAACTAAGTACACAGTGAGAGAGTTTAAAAACCAACTATAAGAAATAGTTCATTAGTAATCATTTACTAAGTTTTTGAAAAATAAACGAATAAATTTCCAAAGAAATATTTACAAACCAAAGGAAGTGAGTCACTTTAGAAACCATTTTATCCTCCTCATGCCTAATAACACTTAGGCACATGGGTGTTATGAAATATATTATCCTAAGTCCAGAACATTAGGTAATGAACAAATATGCCAGAAATGTTCACATTAGCTATTTTTCATAGGTGGCTCATGGATATTTTTAAATCATTCTAAATCCAGGTTATCCAAAAGGTCATTGCAAAGCTATCTGCAAGACCTTCAGGCCATGGGTCTCCATCTACAGATCAAATAAACTCTGCACTCACTTAACTTTTCCTTACAAGTTCACTATCTCTAACCTTTAATCATCTTTTAGACATTGCATGAAACTTCTATTATCTTTCTCAAACCTCCCTTCATATTTCCTCTTCAGAGTTTCAAAAAGTATAATATCCTCTCCTCAATTTATGCAGAATGTATGCAACTTTATGACTGATAAAAAAGAGGGGAAAACAATGTTGTTTCCATTCATTTGGAGTATACACAATTATGAGGAACACACACGTATAAAGGTCACACTAAATGACTGATGAGCATATAGTTGAACAGTTTGCAAAGGCATTAATTCAGAAAATGCCATTAGTTTAGACTTGTTTTCACCAGAAATTTTGAAGAGTTTATATCTACGTTTGCCTATAGGTGATCCTAGTCAACTCTTCATTTTGCAAATAAAGCAAACAAGCAATTCCAAAGGGATTCCAAGGCAGCAGAATAGGGTAACAGCGTACTACTCTAAGTGGAGATAGTGCATTCTCAGGGGAGAGTTGGATAGAAAACTGCAGTGGAGATTCTATAGAAGGAGGGGGGACTTTATGGATCTGTATGGAAGGTGCAAATGCAGCAACAAGCATGTACACAACACAGGACTCTGGCAGACATGAGCCAGAGAAAGTACCAGCTTTTGAGAGGAAGGTGAGATCAGACTACAGCAGCCTGTGCCACTGGTGATATAGCCAGAGGTACAACCTAGCAGACTATACTGTCTTTGAGTCTGGCCTGAAGCCCTGAGGGAGACAGGGTGCCCGCTAACACAGCAGATTACAAAAGGGCACGTTTTGCTTTCCCCATCCCCTCTACAATGGCACCTGACCACAGGCTGAGAGAGGGTGGGCACCAATTTGGACATAAGCTGTAGCTGCAGCCTCTCTTACGTGCACACCTAGCAACTGGTGAGGCCAAGACACTATCTTTGCAGCAGTAGCAACTGCAGTAACTGGTGCATGCACCCAGCAATGGGAAGGGAGAAGGAGTGATTCAGACATCAGTACCAGCTGCAGAGCCTGTTGTACATGCCAGCAACCGGCAGGGCTGAGGTCAGCAGCTCTTGTACATACATGAGATCCAGGGATATTACCAGAGAGAAAAATCCACATTCCCCACTGACTCTGAGTTTAGCTGGGAGGACTGACAGAGGGCTAGGAATCCACACAAAGGACTGTGAGGTGCTCCCAGCTCTGGGATCAAACTACCTAGATGGAGCACCCACAGGCAGCTGGCCCTGGGACCATCTCAGCCTCTATGACAGGACAGGCTAGTGGAGCAGAGTAGATACTCTGCACCCTGTGACTGTGGGAGCCCTGTGTGCCGAGACTATGGTGATTCTGTGACCACATGAGAGGGTGAATGGCATAGCTGTGTCCCTGGGAAATCACTGCATGCAGCTTCACACACACAGAGATCCCTGATTGCCTGTGGTGGGTCAGTGCAGAGGGATCCGTGGCCACACTAAGGACTGCAAAGATCCTTTATGTGGTTCATGTAGCAGTGTGGATGAGTACTGCACCCACTGTGGGCTAATAGCTGGGCATTGATCACCTTGGAAGAGAGGTGAGGGTGTGATTATGACAACAGAGGTGATCATACTCTCCTTTCTGTCAACAAGGAGAGATCTATCATGACCAGCTTGGGTATTATCCTGGATATTTGCCCCACCCTGGAGCCCAGACCAGAGTCCTCTGGCTATACCCAGCACACGCCTCTGGATATTCAGTGAAAGAGCAAACACTTCACCAAGTCCCAAGTGCATAGTTCACAGATAAAAGACATCAGAGGAAAAAAACCAACAAGTATCTCCTCAAAAAAATGCACAAATTCAACAAACAAAAATAAGGAAGACAACATGACTTCCCTCTCAAAGGAACCCAATAATACTAATATTAGAATGTGAAGATGAAGAGATTGGTGAAATGCCTAAAACAGAATTCATTAATCATAAGATTACTCAGAGGCAATGAGAAGCAAATTCATGAATAAAAGAAATGTTTACATGAAATGAATGAAAGCTTTTCCCATGAAATTGAGGTTTTGAAAAGAAACCTAAATAAAATATTAGAAATGAGGAATTCAATAGATTGAACAAAAAATGCAGTGGAAAGGCTTAAGAACAGACGTGGCAAGGCTGAAGAAAGAATATCTGATCTAGAAGACAAATCTCTGGAAATTATTCAAACAGACCAAAAAAAAAAAAAAAGAAGAAGAAATTAGAAAAATTAAAAAGTGTTGGAAATTTATGGGATATTATCAAATGATACAATATATGGGTATTAAGAGCTCCTAAAGGTGTAGGAAGAGAGAATTTATTGGTAGGCTTATTCAGAGAAATAATTACAGAAAATTTTCCTAATTTGGAGAAAGGGATGTCCAGTACACGATGCACATATAACTCCTTATAGACATGACCAGAAAAGATCTTCAAAATGACACATTATAGTTAAACTTACAGTAAAACATAAAGAAAAGATTCTAAAATGTGCAGACAGAAGCATCATATTACTTTCAGAAGATTTCCAATTAGACTCTCAACTGACTTCTCATTGGAAAGTCTATAGGCTAGGAGAGAATGGAGACACATCATCGATGTCTTAAAGAAAACACGGTCAACCCAGAGTACTGTACTCTGAAAAGATCTCATTTAAGAATGAAGATGAAGTAAAGGCTTTACATAACAAAACAAAATTTAAAGAATTTGACACCACTCAGCCAGCCTTACAAAATATGCTTAAGGATGTGTTACACACAGAAACACAGAAAGATAGCCATCATTATGAAAGAATGTGAATACAGAAAATCTCCCAGTAAAAGTGCAAAAAAAAAAAAATCCAAAGTAAACAATAGGAATATTTATGGAAAAACAGCTGGATGTTGTTTTTCTTATATAAGATTGCTTTAGGTATTCAGGGTCTCTTGTGTTTCCATATGAAATTTATGGATATAAATTGAAAAAGAGGATATCAAATTATCCCCATCTACAAATAAAATAATTCTACAAATAGGGGAACCAAAAGATTACACCCAGAGACTACTGGAACTCATAAAAGAGTTTGGTAAAGAGGCAGGATATAAAATTATAAAATTAACACACAAAAGTCAATAGCCTTTGTATACAAGGAAAATGCCATGGCTGAAAAAGAACTTCTAGAATTAATCCCATTCACAATAGCTATAAAAAAATCAAATACCTTGGGATAAATTTAATCAAGGAGGTGAAATATCTCTACAATGAAAATTACAAAACATTGAAGAAGAAATACAAGAACAAAAAAAATGGAAGAATCTGCCATGTACATGAACTGGAAGAATTAATATCATCAAAATGTCCATATTACTGAAGACAATTTACAGATTCAATGCAATCCCAATAAAAATATCAATGACATTTTTCTCAGATGTAGAAAAAACAATGCTAAAATTCATATGGAAACACAAACGACTCTGAAAGGCTAAAGCAACCTTATATAACAAAAACAAAGCTGGACGCATCACAATACCAGATTAGATTTTAAGATTTACTATAGGTCAGTTAAAATCAAAGCAGCCTAGTATTGGCAAAATAATAGGCATGTAGACCAATAGAACAGATCAGAAACTTCAGAAATCAATCCACACATTTACAACCAACTTATCTTTGACAAGGAGCTAAAATCAATCCCTGGAGGAGAGGACAGTCTCTTCAACAAATGGTGCTGGGAAAACTGGATCTCTATGTGCAGAAGTATGAAGAAAGACCCCCTCCCTTATACCATATACAAAAAACTACTCAAAATGGATCAAGAACTTAAATCTATGACCCAATATCATCAAATTACTGGAGAACTTTGGGGCTCTGCAAGACATTGGCATAGGCAAAGACTTCTTGGAAAAGACCTCAGAAGCACAGGAAATCAAAGCCAAAATTGATAAATGGGATTACATCAAGCTGAGAAGCTTCTGTACTACAAAAGAAACACTCAGCAAATTGAAGAGGCAATCTACCGAATGGGAGAAAATATTTGCAAACTATGAAGCAGATAAAGGATTAATATCTAGAATCTACAAAGAGCTCAAGAAACTCAACAACAACAAAACAAACAATCTAGTTAAGAAATGGACAAGGG